GAGGAGTCAAACACGAGCATAATTTGCGGGTGTGATATTGAAACATCTCGCAGCACGGGTGTACCATTATAAACAAATAAAACATCTCCAGGTAACTCTAGTAGAGTATTCATTTAGTTTGTTTGTTAAATAAGAGGCGATCTGAAATGTGTTGTTTTTGAAATCAAGTGACCAAAGCGCTCGTTGCCACTGCGATCAGTTTCAGTGGATTCAGTGGTCCGTTGTGACGCGCACTGTCTTCAAACGAACGTGCGCTCAATCCGTTGCTGGGACTGAGAGACTCAATACGGTGAAATCACAAAACCCAATGCACAAAAAAAACATGTCCCTGCTTGAAATACAGCCACTAATAAACAATCGGTTTTGATGAGGAAAATAAACTATACTATTAGTAGGGATTAGAAGAACCCAGAACCTGTAGTTCATGGGGATATTTATTTAATCATGTGAAAATTCTCACCAATAACAACATATATTAGATCTCATTAAATGACAAATTAAACAAAATGTACTATTGTATACTATGTAACACGTCACGCTCTCCATGAGTCGTATTTACGACAGTAACGTTAAAAACAAGTACTCCACAGTTACTCTAGGAGTCGCTGTTTGACAAAAACAGCATTCCTGCCTGGTGTCCCTTTAATGACACGGAGACGGCAGCAGGTTTATTAGGCTGGTATCAAGACCTAAAGCATTCATGATGTCGAAAAACTGCAATGTCACGTCAATGTAACCCCACCGCTGCATTGCTAAACATGTGATGCGAACGTACGTAGCGTTGAACTGTAATATCAGATGGAGGCATCTGAACTGCAGCTGATATCATGTGCATTGTAGCACGATACTATTCTCTCTCTTCAAAAGCAGGTCAGGGAGACATTTTAATCATTCACTATCTAAAATCATGATATCGTGCACCCTTAGCGCAATCACGATCAGAAAAACACTGCAGCGCATATACGCGCCTCGAAGTTCAATCTGTTATTCCTCCCTCTTCAATGAACTCTGTAAACCACCACCTGTTCTCCTTCTCCAGTGGTGTATTTTTTTCTCTTTCCTCTTCCTTCTCCAGTGTCCCTTCTCTCTTCCTACAGAAGCACTTGGGATAATTGGATAGGGAAGTGCTCTTTTTTCTAATAGAGAATTTGGACTGGATGCTGCAGTGCTCATCCATGTGGAAATGTCTCCTAATGGAAGCTGGGTCTAGCCTCAGCACACCCCATCGCTTATTTGGGCAGTCTGCAGTTCATCTGTTGTGGTTTCATGATAGTGCCTCTTTCTTACCTTCTCTGCCTAGTGGTGATCTTCACTGATGAACTCCTGTTTGACAAAATCTTCATGGGCAAACCAGAACTAGGCTGCATTTTGAGTTGTTTACCCAACTGTTGTTTCATGTAAAGTCATGTGTAACTATTTTGGGAAAATGTTTACGTCATCTTCCATAATTGAAAAATACCAGCATGTGGTTTTGGAATGTCATGAGGGTGAGGAAATAATGACAATTTAAATGTTTTAAGGTTTACATACACTACCATATTGTTTTTTTTTTTTTTTTTTTAAGGATTTTTTAAAGAGTTGTATCATATATATATATATATATATATATATATATATATATATATATACTTCATTTACTTTACATACTTTACAATAGTATTGTTATAGTATATTTATATTTTTTGATTAAATAAATACAGACATGTTGAGCATGAGACAATTCTTAAAAAAAAATCCTTAAAAAAACTATATATATATATATGTGTGTGTGTGTGTGTGTGTGTGTGTGTGTGTGTGTGTGTGTGTGTGTGTGTGTGTGTGTGTGTGTGTGTGTGTGTGCGCAAAGCTGATCATCATTATTCCAGTCTTCAGTTTCACATGATCCATTCTAATATGCTGATTTGATGCCAAGTTGCTTTTTTTTTTCATTATCAATTTTGGAAACTGTTAAACAATTTTGCCAAGATCTTTTTCAGGATGTCAGGATAGCAACAAAACATTGGTCTGTTTGAGAAAATCAGACAATGAGTGTTGTCACTTTGAACAATGGCTTTTTGATAATGAATGGATTTGTCTTTCGAGATACCTAGTGCCTACAGTTTAGCTCAATTTGTTGATCTCTAACTAAGAAATGGCTTAGGCCGCAGTCAGGTGACTGTTTGGTGTGTTCGGGCTGATGGAGATTAGATGACAGCTCTGGGATCTGACTGAAAAGGCAAACTGATGCGAGCCCTGGAACATGAACGCTCAGAGCATTGCCTGTAGCTAAAGCTGCATCACACGGTTTAACATCCTGCTCTGCTGACACCCTGGAGGACGATATGGGTCATAGTGGTGCTGTGGGGAGATGCGAGCACATATTACACGCAGTTGTCAAGCACACCTGGCTGCTGGAGGCTCCGTTTTGTACTAATCTAAAAAAAAAAAAAAAAAAAAGAAAAATAGACCTTAGGATGCCTTCATACAGTATACTACGGATTTCTCCATGAAGTACATTGCATTGATGAAGGGTTACCTTGCAGAGAAAACAAATGTTATTATTTTCCTACATGCAAGCTAGGGGTGGGCGGTATGACCAAAATTGTGTTTTACGGTATGACTAGTTTTATTTCACGGTAATGATACATTTCACGATATAGTTATTTATATATGTAATTATTCTTTAAAAATCGACAAAAAGGGCTTTGTATAATAAATAAACCCAAATACTTTAGAAATGAAAAGTACTTCACCTTGTTTTTTTTTTGTTTTTGTTTTTTTTTGTTTTTTAATTTGGTAAATTATTTCTTTGGTAAACTATTTTGATAGCTAAATATAGTGAACATAACACACTTATCAACTTTAAGATGAACTTCTCACAACTGATTTATATTAAATACAACTCATAGGTGCAATTGGATTTTAAATAGTGTTGCTGAATTATTTTTCATTTTTCATTGCTTTACTTCATCAATATAATATTTATAATATCTAAATATTTTATATTGAACTATTCTATTCATAATACATTAGTTACTTACTTTTAATTTTGTAGGATAGTAGGCTACTATTTCTGTTTAAATGTGTTCCCCGATACATGTTTGCCATTCCTGCTTATTATACTGCATTTTTAAAGGGCTTGTTTTGCTCTTTTTGTTATGTCTGGCAACCTGTCACCTGGAGCTTTGATCAAGAGAAGTTCAGTTGTGTCAAGTTCATTAAGTTTAGAAGTGACTAAAAGAAGAGCAGCGGTATGAAAACCGAACAGCAGTGCGTGTGCACTTTTGCATCAGTAAAATGCAATGGTTAATTTGAATGTCAAGTTGTAATCACGGATCTAACCAAAGCAAGATTTTATCAACTGGTTCAGTGGCCAATTTTTTAAAAAAAAAGAAAAATATAAAACTCGCGTGGCATATTTATGTAGTAATTTCAGGATTATTTCGCTTTAACAAGCAGACAAATCTCAGTGTCTCAGTTTCACACACATTGAACTGAGTTAACCATGTACAAAAAATAAATACAAAAAATATTGACATTTTCTATCTCGGTAACGGTATATATCGTCATACCGCCTAGCCCTATATATGTTACAATATTATTTATGTGCATGGTTTAGTCATTTATATGAGTTTCCAAGATAACATGATGTTTCATGTGGTTTTCAATTTAATGTGGAGTAACCATCAATGAAAAACGAATAACATATTGTCTTCATACCTTACTATTTGAAACAATTTAATGCTTTAAAATAAAAAATCAAGTTTTTTTTTTTTGTTTGTTTTTTGTTTTTTAGCAAAGAATCAGTTATTAATCATTAAACATTACATTTTTAGGAAATCACATTTAAAAAATAAAAATAAAAATAAATGACCTTGCCTTGTCACAAATTCTTCATCATGTCTATATTATAGACCTTATGCAGCAGAGAAACGTGGGCGCCGTCATCTTTAGAATATTATCTTTGAACTTCCGTTTTTGCGGTTGCTCTGTATATTTCTATGGCATCGCTGTCGAGGAGTAATTAGCTGGTGAAGTGGATTTACTTATTGTAGAGTTAACAAAAGTTATCATGAGCATTGTAATGTTTATCATAAGCTTTGTAAAGCAGATGTCTTAACAAATGTTGACTGGGAATTTTTTTACGAGCAGTTCATTCATACCTAAGATCGCTGTGAAAATACAGACCAGAAGTCAAAAGACAATGAGCACAGTGCTAAAAAGGGGCGGGGCTACATAAGGTCTTTATATATTTTCTAATTTTTTTATTTATTTATTTATTTTTTTGAATGGATTCAAAAACAGGTAAAACTCAACAGTTTAACTCTGGGGGAGTTGTAAAATGAGCCTATTTCCAAAAAAAAAAAAAAAAAAAAAAAGTGGAGTGTCCAAACCATAGTAATGTAATTTTATTTATAAATCAAATGCAAATATGAATAGATAAAACTTGTGTGGCTTAAATACTGGCCATCATACGCATTTGCAACTTGATTCCCCCCAAAATAATCAAATAAAGTGAAATCAAAATTTAATACAGAAATTGAAATTATGCTCATCATAGAACTGTTTCTTTTAAGTCGCTGAATGTGTGAAGTTTATTTTAGAATCAATTAATAGATAGTTTCACCCCATTGGCATGCATACTGCTGAAAGCAGAGGTAATAGCTTACATCTGTAACCTCTGACCTGTGAAATAAGCTTCTTTAGCTGCTCTATTGATTGTGATTTTGATAGGTCTGTAAAGCGTTTATTAGCTACCATTCTGATGATTGGTGCATGAGCCATGCTGTCTCTGGTGGCCTGTTCTGTGCAGAATTCCCTCACTTATCACCTGTGCTGTCCTAGTTAGCGTTTTACACCACAGTAAACAGCTTTCAAAGGTTTTTATTTTCCGTTAAAGCTGGAAATTGAGATTTAGCAGTCAGTTTGGCACTCAAACATTTGCAAGCTCCAGCGGTCGTTTGTTGTTGTATAACAATACTCTTGGTTAACGTGAGCTTTGTTCCTTCTCTTCGTTTTAGGTTGACGGGGTTTCAACTTCCTGCCCCTATAGTCAGCACAGGACCCAGACTTACACTATGGCTGCTGTCAGACTACGCTGTAAGTGGCCAGGGCTTCAAAGCAGTGTACGAAGGTAAGAATCACGTTTTAATCTTCTCTCTTTGTCTCAAGTCAGTTCTCTACCGGGAACGGGTTCAATCCCTCATCTTTCGGGCAAACCCTGTAATTATGTAAAGTGGACTCTTGCACTAGCATGCGTGCCATAAAAGCAGACTTTTATCTCATTTTATAGGCTAATTGCATTAATATGCACGGTCAATTTAAAGACTGAGAATCCATAAACATATTTCCTCTCGCTTCCATGCTGGCTTCTCGTCATATTTCTTTTGATGTGAGAGCTTTATGACCCAAAAAAGCAGCAATATTAATGCTCGCTTCAGAGAGGCAGCAAGGAGAATTAATCTGCACTAATTAGATTAATTGTCTAATTGAAATTATAGACTGATGGCAGGTGAATCGAGGCCTCTGGGAACTTTCAGTCATCTAGATCTGCATGTTTCTGCATGTAGATCTGCATGTTTCATGTTGATTATGTTTTATATTTTCTGATCAAGTGTTTCTTTGCATGCATCAATTTGTCTGATGCTGCTTATGGTGGGTCGTCGATGTGTTTGTTATGCAAAATGATTAAAGCGTTCAGGTTCATAGATGGATGTCTGGAGTAGGGTTGCGCTTTGGGGTGAAATGGAAATTTGAAAGAAAGGGTAAAACGTTCACAAAATACACTACTGATTAAAATGCTAAATTTGGTATGGACACATGGGTGGTGGACTTGGTGGGCACTTTCACTGACTATAATGTAAACCCTTTAAAATCAGACGTTTGGCTTTACCAGGATTAACAAATATTCACCTATTTAATTATTCCATATTATATTTAAAGGGACACTTCCCCCATTTGCATTAAGCTTTGTATCTTTAGAAACCCAGTCATTATTTTGAATGGTCGTAGTTTATTTCCTTATTTTACCCTGAGATGGGAGAAATAAGGATTTAAGTGTCTTATTTCCTGCTTATTATGACATAAAAATTGTCATTTTGCGTCATACTAAGCAGGAAGTCACATTTTATTGAAAAGTGTAGAGTGTAGACTACAAACATTAGCTCATTAGTATTCAAGGGTGTGGGACCCACTCACCCTACAGGCCAATTACAGATAAGTGGGTGGGACTTCACTTGCAGAAACTGAAATCAATATCCGCCATCTTATTTTTGAAAGCTAAGCTAACAAGCACTTTGGAGATAGGAAGTATGATAATGACGGAATTTTCACGTCTCTCGTCCTGCTGCACAGCCAACTAACTAGAAATTTTTAAATGAATGAATTTGAATTTCAAACTCTGGTGGCAGCTGGCGTTAGCCTTGTTGACGAAAGAATGATTTATCTTATGTGTGCGCAGTTCCGGATTAGTGGGTGTGGCTTGCGGAGCTGTGCAATGTGGTGCATTGTGGGTGTTGTAGTCTTTCATACAAATGCACGCTTGGGTTATTTTCTGTCTTTTCTCAGTCAAGAGGGCACCAAATTCAAACATTCTTTTACATTTTGACTACATAATATGATCTACTTTCAACAAAGATAAATGTTGAAATGGGTGAAATGCTCCTTTAAAGTTTATATATATATATATATATTAGGAATTTTTCTTAAAAGACAATTCATAGGTAATCTTCATTGCCATTTAAGTGAAATTACTGAACTTAAATATAGGAGCTTGATAAAAATGATCATTCTAGAAGAAAATTCAAAATTTAAAAGCCGCTTAGAGGCTTTTGCATCTGAACTCTTCATATATATATTAGTAGTGTAGTACTATCACTGCCACTCTGTAATCTTCTTTTTTTTTTTTTTTTTTTTTTTCTGATGCAGTACACTCACACTTTCAATGGAGACATTCTCTGGATCTCTTACACAGACAAGCCACACACACAGGCTCTCCCGGTGCTCGCTATGACCCACCTCTCCCACTATTAAAGCACTAACATGATAAGAGTAAACCATCTAAAACACATTAAGTATCAATACTACTTAAACTAAATGCGATGTGGTGATTTAAATAATGTTTGCGCTTTCACTATGAGTGCCGCTCCAGCGCGTATGTGCTTCATTTGATCAATGCAGTTAGTTATAATCGCATAGCATGTCAAAATGGCTATTCCCAAAATTAAAAGTTAGTTCATTCAAATATTTTAATTCTCTCCATTTATTCACTCTCATGTTATTCTCGCATGTCATGCACACATTTCATGTTTACTAGGGCATGTTGGTCATTGTAAATCTGTTCGTCATATAAAGCCCTTGTGTCTCTTCACAAGACTTGCATTCTACTATGCCTTTATGACCCTTTTTGGATCTTTCGACATAATACAGAATTTACGTTTTTGGGTGGATTATAAATAGAGTTAGCTGAGTCTTGGATAACACTAACTCTATATTGCAAATCATATCGTTTACATCACCGAGACATTTTTATCTCAATATAACAATGTATCGTTACACCCCTACAGAGCAGGTTAAGAGGACATCGAGCCCTGAGCGATGGCCTACACTAGTATGGAAATGCTTTATCTCATCTATACGGATCAGACTAATTCAGTCTGGCACAGTAATTATGCTCCACTTCTTGTCACATGACCTTCTGTTGTCTGCTGAAACACTGTACAGGAGCAGAATTAAAGAGTGATGTATGTAGCACAGGCCCCTGGCCTGACTTTCAGTAAAGACAGCAGAATAATGAGAAGCCCAGAGCTCTTATCAATAGCCCATGGCTAGACACTCAGCAGAATAGCGATTTCCTTTGAGGCTGTCCTTCATAGGAGTGTGAAGGCTTGCTCATCAAGAAGAATATCAGCTTGCCAAATCCAAAATCCTTTTTATCCTAATGATACTGTAATGTCGAGCTTCATCCCTGAATGGGTTTGTTTTGCTACAATAACTGGCAAGATGTGTGTATATATATATATATATATATATACAGCTTATTATTTCATAAGTACTGACCAAATATAGTAGATAAATACATTGATGTACAGAAACAACACTAATTTCCACTGTGATCTCTGCTCTTTTTGAGGGGGTGGAGCTGAGAGGCAAAGGATAATGATTATAAATGAGGGCTCTGCATCTTCATTTTGCATCTGGATTCTTCCTCTTTATCTTCTCAGATGAAAAAGCCCCCCGGTGTGATGGTGAAACATTAGGGGCATTATGAGCAGTGCTATCAATTAACACTCTCAATCAAGCCCCAATGCAGCTGCCACTCTATGTTAAGAGCCACCCGTTTCACAAGCTCTGAATTTTTTTCTCTCTCTACCAGCTCTGGTGAGAACCCATCTTGAACTAAAGGAAGAGCAATCTAGCTCTGTAATGAAAGTCTGTATGATGGAGAGAAACAATCTCCGTTTTAGATGACTGAATAGATGAGGCAACAAACCTGAATAGCATTAAGCCTCTCGAGGTTTATTTAGTATGTGGGATGTAGGGATGCACATTATCGATTAATTCATTAATCTTTAGTTGATCGACCTTATCGATGGCGGCTGCTTTCCTGAGAATATACATTTCTCACGGTATCAGTAGTGTCTTTAACATAAAAAGCTAAATATTCAACGCATTCTCATCCTTTAGCGTCATATAGAACGCTATATGACAAAGCGGCGCTATACTACGTGCATGGCACCCGTTATCGTTACACGCACTGTGATGGTTACGTTTAGGTGTGGTGTAGGGTAGTCTCATATTACGCGAAAGGATTTATGGCGCCTTGGGTTCGCGTGAATATTAACGATAAAGGGTGCCATGTGCGTAGTATAGCGCCGTTTTGTCATATAGCGTTATATGTGACGCTAAAGGATGAGAACGGGCTGAAATATTGCTTATATACTGAATAAAAATGCATGTTATATTGCTCAATTGATGTTTTATTGTAACAGTTGGGAGACAGATAATAGTATATTTTTGTAGTTTAACAAAATAAATTATGGACAGAAAATTAAAATGCATAAAAATATAATTGTGCACTGGCTCACCTGTTGCATGTGTAACATTAAGCAACATAAAATACATTTAAATCTATATGGGTAGGCCTAGCCTATACTATATAAAGCCTATAATAAACAAAACTACTTACAGTATATGGAAAACTTGAAACATTAGCAGAAGCACTTACAATACCCATTTGTTTGAGAAAGGTAAAAGTGAGTTAGCATTTAGCACTCCCGGTTCCCTTGCTCTAAAGTCTATGGGATTTTTGAATGGGTTTTTGCTAAATCGCCTGAAATAAGGTCTGTGGTGAACAAAGCCTCTAAATATTTTCACGTTTTGATCTATGACATAGAACACACAGTTATAACCTGCTTTTGTTTTTTTTTGTTTTTTTGTTTTTTTAACATTTTTAAAAACTTTATATTGGCTTCAAAATGTATACATTTTGCATTAACTTGTAAATAGTATCTTGATAGAAATGTGTAAGTGTCACAACTCTTTGTTAAACACAGATCTTATTATTTGCGATTTTCCAAAAGTCTATGGGGAAAATGCATTGTTTTCGATCGAGGGATCCCATGCGCTGCTAGCTTCCGAGTTGTCCTACATAGTGTCCTACAAAGTTATTGTTCGAATACAGCTGGATTTTCGAGGTTAGCACGCTGTTAGCATTGCTGTCCACTCCGTTTTGACTGCCTCATGTTTGCGTCGGGTCTATCGATGAGAATCTCGTGTCGCATTCAAAATGTTCAATTAGCCAGCAATTAATTTAATTGAGTAAATTCTTGTCGACAATTAATCATTTACATCCCTTGTTGTATGTTTATTTGCTCATGTATGTTGTTGTTTTTTTAACTGATATTGGCTTGCTGTTGTTTAGGGCTGGATGAAAATACTAAAAAAATGTGCCTCTGTCACACAGTAACACAATTTCAGCCAAACATCAAATGTTTCCAAGTATATTCAGAATGTTTAATGTTAAAATTAAACACAGGAGAATACTAATTAAGACATGTTCTTATTAAATGAACACAAGGATGAATATATATATATTTTTGTATTCATCACTATAACAGTATATACTGTAATAAA